GAGGGTGGTGGTGAGGGTGGTGGTGAGGGTGGTGGTGCTCATAGACTCATTCTACCGGTGGGTGGTGGTGGTGAGGGTGGTGGTGAGGGTGGTGGTGAGGGTGGTGGTGCTCATAGACTCATTCTACCGGTGGGTGGTGGTGGTGAGGGTGGTGAGGGTGGTGAGGGTGGTGGTGAGGGTGGTGGTGGTGGTGGTGGTGAGGGTGGTGGTGAGGGTGGTGGTGGTGGTGGTGCTCATAGACTCATTCTACCGGTGGGTGGTGGTGGTGGTGAGGGTGGTGAGGGTGGTGAGGGTGGTGGTGCTCATAGACTCATTCTACTGGTGGGTGGTGGTGAGGGTGGTGAGGGTGGTGGTGGTGGTGGTGGTGAGGGTGGTGATGGTGAGGGTGGTAGTGGTGAGAGTGGTGGTGGTGAGAATAGTGGTGGTGGTGAGGGTGGTGATGGTGAGGGTGGTGGTGAGAGTGGTGGTGGTGGTGGTGGTTGTGAGGGTGGTGGTGAGGGTGGTGGTGAGGGTGGTGGTGGTGAGAGTGGTGGTGGTGGTGAGGGTGGTGGTGAGGGTGGTGATGGTGAAGGTGATGGTGAGGGTGGTGAGGGTGATGGTGAGGGTGGTGGTGAGGGTGGTGGTGTTGCTCTTTGGTTCTTCATATATAGTCACGTCGGTAATAAAATAATAAAAATAATAATAAATCACGACGTTTCGATCGCACCACAAGCGGTCGTCCTCGGGCGGAAAAAAAAATAATCCAGCAGTGGAACTGCTGAACCAGCGAGAGAGCCGCTACAACGAGACGTTATATACGTGGTGATGGGCAAGCAGGCGGGGGGGGTCTCAGCTGGAAAGGGATTCCATCCCCGCTACAACGAGACGTTATATACGTGGTGATGGGCAAGCTAGGTGATGCCTGAGCTGGACAGGAATTCCATCCCCGCTACAACGAGACGTTATATACGTGGTCAAGGAGGTCAAGATGGCGCCGATGATGGCAGCCTCGGCCGGTTGGTGCGCCCTGTTTTGTCTTGTTTTGTCTTGAGAGGGGCTTGCTGTTCAACACACTCGTGCTGGTGAGAGAGGCCTGCTGTTCATCACACCCGTGCTGGTGAGAGAGGCCTGCTGTTTTGGGGCCTGCTGTTCATCACACCCGTGCTGGTGAGAGAGGCCTGCTGTTCAGTACACCCGTGTTGAGGGGCCTGCTGTTCAGCACACCCTTGCTGGTGAGAGAGGCCTGCTGTTCAACACACCCGTGCTGGTGAGAGGGGCCTGCTTTTCAGCACACCCGTGCTGGTGAGAGGGGCCTGCTGTTCAGCACACCCGTGCTGGTGAGAGAGGCCTGCTGTTCAGCTCACACGTGTTGAGGGGCCTGCTGTTCAGCACACCCGTGCTGGTGAGAGGGGCCTGCTGTTCATCACATCCGTGTTGGTGAGAGGGGCCTGTTGTTCATCACATCCGTGTTGGTGAGAGGGGCCTGTTGTTCAGCACACCGGTGCTGGTGAGAGAGGCCTACTGTTCAGCACACCCGTGTTGAGGGGCCTGCTGTTCAGCACACCCGTGCTGGTGAGAGGGGCCTGCTGTTCAACACACCCGTGCTGGTGAGAGGGGCCTGCTGTTCAACACACCCGTGCTGGTGAGAGGGGCCTGCTGTTCAACACACCCGTGCTGGTGAGAGGGGCCTGCTGTTCAACACACCCGTGCTGGTGAGAGGGGCCTGCTGTTCATCACACCCGTGCTGGTGAGAGAGGCCTACTATTCATCACACCCGTGCTGGTGTGAGGGGCGTGCTGTTCATCACCCCCGTGTGGGTGAGAGGGGCCTGCTGTTCACTCCCATGCTGGTGAGAGAGGCCTACTGTTCATCACACCCGTGTTGGTGAGAGGGGCCTGCTGTTCACCACTCCCATGCTGGTGAGAGGGGCCTACTGTTCAACACACCAGTGCTGGTGAGAGAGTCCTGCTGTTCAGCACACCCGTGCTGGTGCGAAGATGGCGCTGATGATGGTAGCCTCAGCCGGTCGGTGCGCCCTGTTTTGTCTTGTTTTGTCTGTCAATTCAGTGTTTTGCCAAGATTTTCGGAGTTCTCTAACAAGAGACGAACTTTTAAATATCAGGGAAACAACTCCTGTGGATTTAATTCCTACTTTTCTGCTTCCAGCGGCAGAATTAGTAGGCATTCTAGTCAATGCCGCGCTAGGCTTTGCTCAAGCAACGAAACGCCGCCCAAGGGGTAAACGGTCGGGGGCTCTAGTACGGCTACGCAGACGCGGGATCCGAACAGTGCTTCCGAGCTTTTTCCTCTCCAACGTACGTTCACTGTACAACAAAATGGATGAACTTCAGCTACTGATGGTAAAAAACAAAGACTTTCTTTCAGCTTCTGCATTGTGCTTCACGGAAACATGGCTGTGTGATTTGATTCCGGACACTTCGCTACAACTAGCAGGATTCCATCTTGTAAGATCGGATCGTGACATAGCACTCTCCGGCAAGACGAAAGGCGGTGGTATTTGTTTTTACATTAACAGTGGCTGGTGTGTAGATGTCACAGTGATTCTGCAACATTGTTCTCCACTCCTTGAATCAATTTTTATAACCTGTAAACCGTTTTACTCGCCTCGCGAGTTCGCGTCGCTCATTTTGGTCGGAGTTTATTTGCCGCCTTGTCCTCAGGTTAAAGAGGCCCAACGCATGCTCGCCGATCAGATTCTGAGTGTGGAGCGAGCAAATCCAGATTCGTTGGTTATCGTACTTGGCGACTTTAACAAAGGTAATCTCAGCCACGAACTCCCCAAATACATACAATTCATTAAATGCCCAACCAGAGAAGGGAACACTCTGGATCACTGCTACACTACAGTCAGTAGAGCCTACCACGCCGTCCCCCGAGCAGCACTAGGACACTCTGACCATGCCATGGTCCACCTGATTCCTGCATACAGGCAGAAACTAAAACTCTGTAAACCTGCTGTGAGGACATCTAAACAGTGGACCAGTGAGGCTGTGGAAGATTTGCGGGCGTGCTTAGACTGTACTGACTGGGATATGTTCACGACTGCTACCAATAGTCTGGATGAACTCACAGAGGCTGTGACGTCCTACATCAGCTTCTGTGAGGACTGCTGTATCCCAACACGTACCAGGGTGAACTTTAACAACAATAAGCCCTGGTTCTCAGCAAAGCTCAGAAGGTTGAGGTTGGAGAAGGAGGAAGCGTTTAGGAGTGGAGATAGAGACAGATTCAAGGAGTCGAAGAACAGGTTTAGCAAAGCGGTGAGAGAGGCTAAACGACTGTACTCAGAGAGACTAAAACACCAGTTCTCTACAAACGACGCTGCTTCTGTCTGGAGAGGGCTCAGGCAGATCACCAACTACAAACCCAGAGCCCCCCATACCACTAACGACTCCCACCTAGCCAACGACCTGAACGAGTTCTACTGTAGATTTGAAAGACAATTGGACTGTCCTGAACCACCCCTTCCAACCCAAGAGGCCCCATCCCCCACCAATACTACAGAGACGACTATCTCCTTTCAGGAGGGAGAAGTTAATAGACTTTTCAAGAGGCAGAATCCACGCAAAGCAGCCGGGCCGGACTCTGTCTCTCCAGCCACCCTCAGGCACTGCGCTGACCAGCTGTCTCCGGTGTTCACCAACATCTTTAACACCTCCCTGGAGACATGCCATGTACCAGCCTGTCTCAAGTCCTCCACCATCATCCCTGTGCCCAAAAAGCTAAGGCCAACAGGACTAAATGATTACAGACCGGTCGCCCTTACATCTGTGGTAATGAAGTCTTTTGAGCGCCTGGTCCTGGCACACCTCAAAGCCATCACAGACCCTCTCCTGGACCCCCTTCAGTTTGCCTACAGAGCCAACATGTCTGTGGATGATGCAGTTAACATGGCCCTCCACTTCACCCTACAGCATCTGGACGCCCCAGCATCCTACGCCAGGATCCTGTTTGTGGACTTCAGCTCTGCCTTCAACACCATCATCCCTGCCCTGCTTCAGGACAAGCTCTTCCAGCTGAACGTGCCATACACCACCTGTAAATGGATCACAGACTTCCTGTCTGACAGGAAGCAGTGCGTTAAGCTGGGAACACAAGTCTCTGGCTCCAGGTCCATCAGCACCGGAACTCCTCAGGGCTGCGTCCTTTCCCCTCTGCTCTTCTCCCTGTATACTAACAGCTGCACCTCCAATCATCTGTTCGTCAAACTATTGAAGTTTGCGGATGACACCACCCTCATTGGGCTGATCTCTGGTGGGGATGAGTCTGACTATAGGTGGGAAGCTGACAATCTGGTGACCTGGTGTAGCCAGAACAACTTAGAGCTAAATGCTCTAAAGACAGTTGAGATGGTTGTGGACTTCAGGAAGAATACAGCACCACTCACCCCCATCACCCTGTTAGACTCCCCAGTCAAAATTGTAGAGTCCTTCCGCTTCCTGGGCACTATTCTCTCCCGGGACCTCAAGTGGGAATTGAACATCAGCTCCCTCACCAAGAAAGCTCAACAGAGGATGTACTTTCTACGGCAGCTGAAGAAATTCAACCTGCCAAAGACAATGATGGTGCAATTCTATACAGCGATCATTGAATCCATCCTCACCTCCTCCATAACCGTCTGGTACGCTGCTGCCACTGCCAAGGACAAGAGCAGACTGCAGCGTATCATCCACACTGCTGAGAAGGTAATTGCCTGCAATCTACCGACCCTCGAGGACCTGCACACGACAAGGTCTATGAGGCGAGCGAGGAAGATTATGGCCGATTTCTCCCACCCTGGACACTCTCTCTTTCAGCTACTCCCCTCCGGCAGAAGGCTTCGGTCCATCAGGACCAAAACCTCACGCCATAAAAACAGTTTCTTCCCATCTGCTGCTGGCCTGTTAAACAAGGCCAAGGGCTAACACTGTTTTTAACATTTGATCTACATAACGACACGTTGCTGATATTAACTATGTTTCCCTATTTGTATTTTTAAATTATATCTTAAAGCTATTTTATATTCGATATTTATTTAATTTTATATACTTCAGCCCCTTAGTGTTAGACTTTTAACCCTTATTATAGTAAGACTTGTTTAAAACTTATTTAAGATTTTAGATTCCTATATGTTGAATGTATGCACCATCCTGCCAAAGTAAATTCCGTGTCGGTGTGAACTTACATGGCGAATAAAACCCTTTCTGATTCTGGTGATGGGCAAGCAGGCGGTGCCTGAGCTGGAAAGGGATTCCATCTCCACTACAGCGAGACGTTATATACGTGGTGATGGGCCAGCAGGCGGTGCCTGAGCTGTACAAGGATTCCATCCCCGCTACAGCGAGACGTTATATACGTGGTGATGGGCGAGCAGGCGATGCCTGAGCTGGACAGGAATTCCATCCCCGCAATAACGAGACGTTATATTCGTGGTGATGGGCAAGCTAGGCGGTGCCTGAGCTGGACAGGAATTCCATCCCCGCACGCGAGCACGTCAGTTGTGTTAATGGGGGGAGATTAAGGAGAGAGAGATTGGGGAGAGAGAGATGAGCATGAAATGAGCTCCCGTCGCCGCTGAAGACTATCGCCCCCGCATACTCGCGCAGCAGCAGTGTCCATGGGATATTAGCGCTGTGTTGATGGGAGAGATTAGGCAGGGAGATTCGTGGATATCAGCGTCTGTGTGTAACACCAGCTGCGGCACGTGCACGCAAAATCCGTGATCTGACCCCATCTGTGAAGGATGTCATTCCTGAGATGCAATGCCCTCCTTAATCTCCCCCCATTAACACAACTGACGTGCTCGCGTGCGGGGATGGAATTCCTTTCCAGCTCAGGCACCGCCTGCTGGCCCATCACCACGTATATAATAACGTCTCGCTGTAGTGGAGATGGAATCCCTTTCCAGCTGAGACCCCGCCTGCTTGCCCATCACCACGTATATAACGTCTCGCTGTAGCGGGGATGGAATTCCTGTACAGCTCAGGCACCGCCTGCTGGCCCATCACCACGTATATAACGTCTCGTTGTAGCGGGGATGGAATCCCTGTACAGCTGAGACCCCGCCTGCTGGCCCATCACCACGTATATAATAACCTTGTTGTAGTGGGGATGGAATTCCTTTCCAGCTCAGGCACCGCCTGCTGGCCCATCACCACGTATATAACGTCTCGTAGTGAGGATGGAATTCCTGTCCAGCTGAGACACCGCCTGCTGGCCCATCACCACGTATATAACGTCTCGTTGTAGCGGGGATGGAATCCCTGTCCAGCTCAGGCATCGCCTAGCTTGCCCATCACCACGTATATAACGTCTCGCTGTAGCGGGGATGGAATTCCTTTCCAGCTGAGACCCCGCCTGCTTGACCATCACCACGTGTATAACGTCTCGCTGTAGCGGGGATGGAATTCCTTTCCAGCTGAGACCCCGCCTGCTTGACCATCACCACGTATATAATGTCTCGTAGCGTGGATGGAATCCCTGTCCAGCTCAGGCACCGCCTGCTGGCCCATCACCACGTATATAATGTCTCGTTGTAGCGGGGATGGAATCCCTGTACAGCTCAGGCACCGCCTGCTTGCCCATCACCACGTATATAATAACGTCTCGCTGTAGCGGGGATGGAATTGTTCGAAACGTCGTGATTTATTTTATTTTATTTCTACCAACTACATGATGACTTTGCCGATAGAACCAAAGAGTTTGTATTCCTCCAGTCACAAATGCTTCAAATGAAGATTAATGTTGTTGATGTTGTTGATGGTGATGATGATGTTGATGATGTAGATGGTGATGTTGTTGATGATGTAGATGGTGATGTTGTTGATGATGTAGATGGTGATGTTGTTGATGGTGATGTTGATGATGTTGCTGATGTAGATGGTGATGTTGTTGATGATGTAGATGGTGATGTTGTTGATGTAGATGGTGATGTTGTTGATGATGTTCATGGTGATGTTGTTGATGTTGTTGATGTTGTTGATGATGTTGATGATGTAAATGTTGATGTTGTTGAGGTTGTTATGAATGTTATTGATGTTGTTGATGTTGTTGATGTTGTTGTTGATGTTGTTATTGATGTTGTTGAGGATGTTATCAATGTTGTTGTTGATGTTGTTGTTATTGATGTTGTTGAGGATCTTATCAATGTTGTTGTTATTGATGTTGTTGAGGATGTTATCAATGTTGTTGTTGTTGTTATGAATGTTGTTGTTGATGTTGTTATTGATGTTGTTATTGATGTTGTTGAGGTTGTTATGAATGTTGTTGATGTTGTTGATGTTGTTATTGATGTTGTTGTGGATGTTATCAATGTTGTTGTTGTTATTGATGTTGTTATTGATGTTGTTGAGGATGTTATCAATGTTGTTGTTGGTGATGTTGTTGTTATTGTTGATGTTGTTGTTGTTGTTATTGTTGTTGATGTTGTTGAGGTTGTTATCAATGTTGTTGTTATTGATGTTGTTGAGGTTGTTATGAATGTTGTTGTTATTGATGTTGTTGTTGATGTTGTTGTTGATGTTGTTATTGATGTTGTTGAGGTTGTTATGAATGTTGTTGATGTTGTTGATGTTGTTGTTATTGTTGTTGTTGTTTGTTGATGTTGTTATTGATGTTGTTGAGGTTGTTATGAATGTTGTTGATGTTGTTGATGTTGTTGTTATTGTTGATGTTGTTGTTGATGTGCGGGCACAGTGAGGAGGCTCGCCGCGTGTGGGAGCAGCGTGAGGATGAGTGGCAGCGTGAGCAGCGAGCTCGCGACAAGCTCACACAGCAGGTGACACACACAGTGACACACACAGTGACACACACAGTGACACACACAGTGACACACACACACAGCAGGTTACACACACAGTGACACACACAGTGACACACACAGTGACACACACACAGTGACACACACACAGTGAGACACACACAGTGACACACACAGTGACACACACACACACAGTGACACACACAGTGACACACACAGTGACACACACACAGTGACACACACACAGCAGGTTACACACACAGTGACACACACAGTGACACACACAGTGACACACACAGTGACACACACACAGTGACACACACAGTGACACACACAGTGACACACACACACAGTGACACAGTGACACACACACACAGTGACACACACAGTGACACACACAGTGACACACACACAGTGACACACACAGTGACACACACACAGTGACACACACACAGTGACACACACAGTGACACACACAGTGACACACACACAGTGACACACACAGTGACACACACAGTGACACACACAGTGACACACACACAGTGACACACACAGTGACACACACACAGTGACACACACAGTGACACCCACACAGTGACACACACACAGTGACACACACAGTGACACACACAGTGACACACACACAGTGACACACACAGTGACACACAGTGACACACACACACACAGTGACACACACAGTGACACACACACACACAGTGACACACACAGTGACACACACAGTGACACACACACACAGTGACACACACACAGACACACACACAGTGACACACACAGTGACACACACACACAGTGACACACAGTGACACACACACACAGTGACACACACAGTGACACACACAGTGACACACACACACACACAGTGACACACACAGTGACACACACAGTGACACACACACAGTGACACACACAGTGACACACACACAGTGACACATACAGTTACACACACAGTGACACACACAGTGACACACACACAGTGACACACACAGCAGGTCACACACACAGTGACACACACAGTGACACACACAGTGACACACACACACACAGTGACACACACAGTGACACACACAGTGACACACACAGTGACACACACACACAGTGACACACACACAGACACACACACAGTGACACACACAGTGACACACACACACAGTGACACACACAGTGACACACACACACAGTGACACACACAGTGACACACACAGTGACACACACACACACAGTGACACACACAGTGACACACACAGTGACACACACACAGTGACACACACAGTGACACACACACAGTGACACATACAGTTACACACACAGTGACACACACAGTGACACACACACAGTGACACACACAGCAGGTCACACACACAGTGACACACACAGTGACACACACAGTGACACACAGTGACACACACAGTGACACACACACAGTGACACACACACAGTGACACACAGTGACACACACAGTGACACACACAGTGACACACACACACAGTGACACACACAGTGACACACACAGTGACACACACACACACAGTGACACACACACACAGTGACACACACAGTGACACACACACAGTGACACACACAGTGACACACACAGTGACACACACAGTGACACACACAGTGACACACACACACAGTGACACACACAGTGACACACACAGTGACACACACAGTGACACACACACACACAGTGACACACACAGTGACACACACAGTGACACACACACACAGTGACACACACAGTGACACACACAGTGACACACACACACACAGTGACACACACAGTGACACACACACAGTGACACACACAGTGACACACACAGTGACACACACACACAGTGACACACACAGTGACACACACAGTGACACACACACACAGTGACACACACAGTGACACACACACAGTGACACACACAGTGACACACACAGTGACACACACACACAGTGACACACACAGTGACACACACAGTGACACACACACAGTGACACACACAGTGACACACACAGTGACACACACACAGTGACACACACAGTGACACACACACACACAGTGACACACACAGTGACACACACAGTGACACACACACACAGTGACACACACAGTGACACACACAGTGACACACACACACAGTGACACACACAGTGTGACACACACAGTGACACACAGTGACACATACAGTGACACACACACAGTGACACACACACAGTGACACACACAGTGACACACACACAGCAGGTGACACACACAGTGACACACACAGTGACACACACAGTGACACACACACACACAGTGACACACACAGTGACACACACAGTGACACACCCACAGTGACACACACAGTGACACACACACAGTGACACACACAGTGACACACACACACAGTGACACACACAGTGACACACACAGTGACACACACACACACAGTGACACACACAGTGACACACACACAGTGACACACACAGTGACACACACAGTGACACACACACACAGTGACACACACAGTGACACACACAGTGACACACACACAGTGACACACACAGTGACACACACAGTGACACACACACAGTGACACACACAGTGACACACACAGTGACACACACACAGTGACACACACAGTGACACACACACACACAGTGACACACACAGTGACACACACACACAGTGACACACACAGTGACAACAACAACAACAACCGCCATTCGCCACTAAGTGGCGGTGACGTCACCACGACGCTTGTGCCAGGCTATGTGCACCCTGAGGCCACGTGAAGTGTCGAACGCCCGCTGGCAGGAGGTCACGGGGCAGACCCAGGTGCCACGGGTCGACTGACTGAGATGACTGGCTGATGCACCACCTGTGCCCCCTACTGTGCCAACCTGCTGTGCTTCAGCCACCCGGCGCTCCGCTCGCTGTTGTGAGCGTCGCTCCTCCGCCCTCCGTTGTTGTTGGAGGGCGACTGCCTCCAACTGCCCAGTAGCATCCTTCACGAGCCTCCTCCACAGAGGCCGATCTTGACACCGCTGGTACCAGTCATCGGCAAGTCCACTCAGCTCCACGTCCTCCTGTACCACATCACTCCATCTCTTCTCTAGCCCGTGCCGCGCCCGCTTAGCCCCCTCAATCTGGCCAAACAAAAGCTGTTTCGGCATGCTGTGGCTGGGCATGCGGGCTACATGACCCAGCCATCGCAGCCTTGCCTGCCGGAGGAGCTCACCGATGGGACCCTGCCCAGATCTTTCAAGGATTTGTGAGCTCCTCACACAATCCAGTCTGGTTAAACCCAGGATGGATCGTAGGCAGGCCAGCCTAAATGTTTCTAACCGGCGAAGATGTTCCATTAGGGGGGTCCACGTTTCGCAAGCGTAGAGAAGGGAGGGAATGACCGTGGCCGAGAAGACCTGAAGTTTAGTGCGGAGCGACAGACCAGGTAGCTTCCACACAGCGTTACGCAACCGATGAAAAGATATTGCCGCTCGACTGATTCGGAGTGAGACCTCTGCTGTTAAACTGGAGCCAGTCATAAGCACACTGCCCAGGTATGGGAAACTCTCCACTCTCTCCACAACTGCCCCATCACCGATTGGGAGTTGTGGGGGTGGAGTGTCCGATGGTACAAAATACCCAGGCAGGTGCTTAGTTTTGGTGGGGCTGATGGTAAGGCCCCACCTCTTAGTGGCACGCTCCAGTCTCAGCAGCAGCGTCTTCAACTCCTCCTCTGACTGAGCAGCTATTACCAAGTCATCAGCATACATAACGTGGTTGAGCAATAGGGAGCCATCCCTTGACCGCACCCGGGCATCGATTAGCCTCCCATTATATCTGTACCATATGGAGATTCCCCCGGTACAGCTATTGAAGGCTTCACGAACTACGTGGTCAAAATAGATGTTAAATAATGTGGGAGCCAGAGGACATCCCTGTCGCACCCCAAGGTGTACAGGGAATGGCTCTGACTCCCGGCCACGTAGTTTTACCCGGGCCCGCTCACCATCATGAAGGTCCTTAATGATCGTGAGCAGAGGGTCAGGTACTCCAAAAGCACGAAGAACGACCCAGAGCCCAGGCCTACTGATGGTATCATAGGCCTTGACCAGGTCAATAAAGCAGAGATGTAGGTCTTGTTGGAATTCCCTACACCTCTGCTGTAGCAGACGGACAGAAAATATGGCATCTGTGCAGGACCGCCCTTTCCTGAAACCACATTGGGGCTCCGCAAGCCTCTCCTCAGCGTGCCTGGCAAGGCGATGCTGAATAATCCTTGCCAGGACCTTTCCCGGCACACTGAGGAGTGAGATGCCCCTGTAGTTGTTACAGTCTGTGCGGTCCCCCTTCTTAAAAAGGGGGACCACCAGGGCATCCTTCCAATCCTGCGGAACCCGTCCAGTGGTCCAGACTGTTGTTATGATGTCATATAGGGCAGTCTGTGCACAAACGCCACCCTCCCTCAGCATTTCGCTTGGGAGATCATCTCTGCCCGCTGCCTTTCCTGGTCTCAGACTCCGTATCGCCTTCAATACTTCCTCAGCAGATGGCACCTCAGCCAGCCACTCACAGGGGGTGACTTCATCCAATATTTGAGGCACCGCAGCCTCAGCAGGGTCATCCTCACTTTGTGCCACGATGTTTTCCTGGCTGAGGGATTTTCCCTCCCCCAGGACCTCACAGAAATGCTCAGCAAATCTGCGAACCTGTTCCTGGGGGTCGGAAATTGGATCACCGTTTTTTCCCCTAACGATGGTAATAGGTGTGGCGCTGCAGGTTACTTTTTTGATGGAGTTAAATAGAGATTTGTGATCACGGGCCACTGAGGCAGACTCCATCTCCTCAGCAACCCGCGACCACCACCCATCCTTGCAGCGCCTCACGGCTCTCCGAACCTCCGAGCGAAGGCTGCGGTAAGCCTCCTCATTCTCTGAAGTTTAATTCGTAGTTTCGTGGTAATTAATTGAAGGTGGAGGGGTTACCAGCCCCTCGCACCCGTCCAGAGCCCCCGTTTAGC